TGATTAATGACGTGAGGTGCTGCTCTCCCTGCTTTCATGTGCCATAGAATCATAGAATCATAGAATCATAGAATCACTAAGGTTGGAAAAGACCTAAAAGATCACCCAGTCCAATCGTTCACCTATTCCCAATAGCTCCTACTAAACCATGTCCCTCAACGCAACATCCAGTCTTTCCTTGAACACCCCCAGGCTCGCTGACTCCACCACCTCCCTGGGCATCCATTCCAGTGCCTGACCACCCTTTCTGAAAAGTAATACTTCCTCATGTCCAGCCTGAATCTCCCCTGCCGTAGCTTGAAGCCATTCCCTCTGGTCCTATCACTAATGACACGAGAGAAGAGGCCGACCTCCAGCTCACTACAACCTCCCTTCAGGAAGTTATAGAGAGCAATGAGGTCTCCCCTGAGCCTCCTCTTCTCCAGGCTGAACATTCCCAGCTCCTTCAGCCTCTCCTCATATGGCCTGTGTTCCAGACCCCTCACCAGCTTTGTTGCCCTCCTTTGAACACGTTCCAGGGCCTCAATATCTTTCTTGCAGTGAGGGGCCCAAAACTGGACACAGTACTCGAGGTGCGGCCTCACAAGTGCTGAATATAGGGGAACAATCACCTCTCTGCTCCTGCTTGCAACACTGTTTCTGATGCAAGCCAGGATGCCATTGGCCTTCTTGGCCACCTGGGCACACTGTCGGCTCATGTTCAGCCGAGCATCAATGACAGCTACAAGCCATGACAGCTACAAGCTAGCGTTACTGAATGGGCTCACCTGAGGCCCACAATGGACAAACATCAGGAGAGACAACTTCAAGGCCCATCTTTTCAGGAAGCTTCTTGTTCTGGGTGCTGGGCTCAACTTGCTTAGGGCCTCATTTTCAGAAGAAATGAGCACTTATAGAGGCTTGAGTAGGGCACCTGGAATAAGGGTCCGCTTTTGGAAATGTTGGCAAAGGCATTTTATCTCTGTGCTTCGTTAGTCTGATCCCCAAAGTCTTTCATCCTATGTTCTGCAGTGAAAGGTCATTGTTTCAGATCAACCATTTTCAGTGGGATTTAATCCAGTTCTGAGTAAGGCTAATCCTCTTTGGTGTAGTTTGAAGAGCAGTAAAAATTGATTTGTCAAGAAAGATCTGGGCATATTTCTTAAATGTTTGCTGGTACTGAGTCCATAATTGGGTAGCCCTGAATGAGATGTTTTGGGGGTAGTTCCAGAAGTGCTAGACATGGAAATTCTGACATTATCCATAGGTTGCAAATGCTCAGCACCTCTGACAAGCCCTGAGGTGGAGTAGGGTTGTTGGGGCTTCTTCATGTGGATGTGTGTGTGTTTGTGACTTTCACTATTCACTTAGCATAGACGTCTTTTATACATAGAGGCTTTTAGCAATAGGATGCTCAGGTGCGAGTTCCTGATAAGCAAGCTTTTTTATTTTTTCCTATTTATGCTTGTAAATTCTGGTTGTATCCCTTTGATTACATAAAGAATGAAAACACATTCTTGTATCTGGACCAAGCATTGTGGTTTGAAGCAGCTCTTGAAGGGTTAAAGCTGCTTTCAATTAGGTGCTGTGTTCTTGCCACTGAGAGAAACCCCCACAACTGAGCATGCTTCACAGCCTCCTGTGCATATCCCTGAATCATTCTGGCACCTAAAAACACTGCCATAATCTTTTATTCAGACATAGCACTCATTCTTCACTGGACACCAAAATGAGCAAGTGCTCCAAAACAGCACATTTTGCAGAGAGCTCTGAGGATCAGCTCCTGTCTGCATGGGGTTTTGAACATGCAGCTGCTGTGTCTGAATGCAGAGCAATAGTGCACACACTGCAGTGATCCCCAGTGGGGTTGGTATATGTGTCTGCTCCCCTGAGGGAGGAAGGGCTTCACAGATGTGCAAATCACTGCCCTTTTCTCTATCAATCTCCTGTTGGTGCAGATGTGCACTATGCACAGCTCACAGCGTGCGCCCTGCTGCTTCTGAGCAGCACTCCCCCACTGCCATCTTCCTCCCTTCACTCTAGCTTTTACCTTTGAGTTACGAGGGAGGTTCTGTGAGAGTGATTGAAGATTAATAAAACTTGAAATATGGCAAGTAGTAGAATATTTTCACGCACACTGTGACAGCCTAAAGAGTTCTGTTGCTTGTTAAACTCTGCTGTACGGTTTGGCCAGAAATATATCACTGAAATTACAGTCCCTTGAGGTTTGGGAAAGAATCATCACACTTCAGCTACACCCACTCCTATCTTCTGCTCTGATCTTGTCATTGGTTACAGCACCTTCCCTCCCTGATGTGCACTTATCTCACTTTGTTGTGGGGATGTGCTGCCAGGATTGTGCCCCACAGTTGCAGCATTTCCAGGATCAGATGCCCACAGACTCTCCACCTCTTTGTCTCCCCGCCCATCTCTATTTCCTGCCATGCGGTTCAGATGCTGGTTAACCTGCACTGCTCACTCCTTGCTTCTGTTCTGTTTTTCACTGCTTTGTCCCCAAGCCTGTATCATTTAGCAGCTCCCTATGTAAAACACTTCCATGCTGCAGCTCCAGGAATGAGGCAGATGGTAGCAGGGATGTTACCTTGCCTTGGTGCTGTGAGTCTCAGGAGCAGTGCTGCAGGTGCGTGTGCTGCCAGAGCAACCAAACAGGTTGCCCAGGAGGCTGGGCAGGCTCCAGTATGCCATGTGGCCATTTCCCCATTGCTTTTCCTTGTTGTCAGCGTGCCCTGTGGCTTGTGCCCTCAGCTGAACATCAGCATTGGGCTGCTCCGTGTGGCTGCCGCGCTGTCCCCAGCGCCTCACACAGCGAGCTGGCTCGGCCTTCCAGCAGGGAGCTATTTGTGGAGCAGCAGGGCTGGCCAGCACACTTAGATGTGCCTATGGAGCAGAGCCACTGCCTGAGATCATGGGGCAATTATCAGAACCATGAGTTTCTCCATCTACAGATTCTCTCTGGGTGTGGTCACTGTGCCAGCAGCTCTAAATCCTGCCTTGTGAGCTCTGCTGGGAACGTGGAGCTCTAGGACATGAGGGCTGATGCCTGGCATCTGAACTTTAGCAGGAGGACAAGTTAGGTGCTTTGACAGCATGTTCAGCACTCCAGTAAAAGATCTGCTGACCTCTCCTCTCCTCTCTTCTCCTTTCCTTTCCCAGCTTACAATTACTGTAGCAGATTAAGACTGCACAAGCTCTGATTTTTTTCCTCCTTGTTCCTTATGGATTCTGGGAGCCGCACTGCTGTTGTAGCTGAAGGTTGGAGCACTAGATGCTGTATATGAGGGCTGCTCCAAAAGTAATGCCTTCTATTTTATCATGTTGGCCCACTGGTGGTACAGCAGTAGAAGTTGAACCTCCCCATCTCCCTCCCTATTGCATCCTGTTGCTGAGTGACAGATGGCTGCAGAGGGGCACTCTGACAGAATGGTGTCTGACATGAAGGTGCATTTGAAGCAAAAATATGTCATTGAATTCCTCCACGTGGAAAAAATGGCACCCATTGACACTTGCTGGATGGTTCTGGTGTGCAAACAGTGCGTGTGAGCACTGTGATGCAGTGAGTGTTGCATTTCAGCAGTGATGACAGTGATGTGTCAGACAAGCCATGTTCTGGACAGTCGTGCACAGCTGTCCCACCGTGAAATGAAGTGCATCTCCATCAGCTTATCCGTGTGAATCAGCACATTACAACCAGGGAACTGTGTGTGGCTTCAGTGCGTTGGAATATCACAAAGCTTGCATTAGGTGCGTCCTACAAATGCTCACGTAGGAACAGAAGGAAAACTGTATGCAATCTTAGTAGGACCCATTGAACCAGTACAAGGCTGAAGGTGCCGGTTTCCTGGATTGTATCATTCCTGGTGATGAGACATGGTTCCACCACTGCAAGCCAGAGTCTGAACAGCAGCCCATGGAGTGGTGATGGGTAAACTCCCCATAAAGAAAAGGTTCACAATGAGCCCTCAGCAAGTAAGGTTTTGTGCAGTGCCTGCTGGCAGAGCAAACCGGCCAAACCATCAGCTCTGAGTGCTTCACTGCCTGCTGGCCGGGCTGAGGGCTCCAACTTCCACCTGGCTGCCGTGAGGTCAGTGATGTTACGTGTCACCGTGCACACTCAGAGCTGGGAATCTCTGAGGCGCTTTAGACTGGTAAATAGCCATTATACAGAAGCTTCGATTAAAGAGAAAAACAAGGGAAGAAGAAAAAGCACTTTGAGAATGTTTTCGTGGACATACCCACATATATTTGCTGGATTAACGCACGTTCTGTGGCTCAGTGGGTGAGTGAGTGGTTCTAGAAACGCTGCGATCTGCTTTCTATGGAGCTGCAGCACGGCAGCAGGCAGGGCAGGCACGGAGCGCTGAGTGCTGCGCGGAGCCTCGGGCGCGCACCGCGCACCGCCAGCCCTGCACACAGCAGCGCGTTGCGCGGCGCTGTTCCTTAGCGACGGTCTTGACGTACGGCCGCTCGATCTCTTAAAGAGCTCAACTATTAAAAAGCAAGACGCTGGTAAAGCCCCGAAAACGGGGACCAGAGCCGAGCAGCCGCGCCCGGGGCCGCACCGCCCGGCTCCGCAATGCCCACCGCCCACCTCCACCTTTGCAGCAGTAAAATGCAGCACTCGCAGCGCGCATGCGCCTCCCCCCGGCCGGCGCCCCGGGATGGCTATTTATAGCAAGTGACGTCATCTAGAAATAGAACGCGAGGGAGCAGCGCCCCCCTCCCCTCCCCTGCAGTCCCCTCGGCTCCGCCCCCTCGTTGCCTTCCTAGCGCGCAGGCGCAGGCGGCGGCAGCAGCGCGAGGCTCCGAGCCGGGCGGAGAGGCGCGAGCCGCACGCGGCGCCGAGGGGAAGCAGCGAGCGCGCGGCTGCAGCCCGTGAGCGCGAGGCGCCGACCGCCACTCGGCGCGTGAGGCGCGGCGAGCCTAACGGTCGCCCGGCGAGCGGGCGGGAGGCGGCGGCGGCCGCGCTGCGCTCTCCACGCGCGCTCGTATCCTCGCACCGCCCTCGCGTCCCGAGGCGCGGACCCCCGCCCCTCTCCTCACCGTCTGAGGGGCTCAGCGCCCGGCCCGGCAGCCACCACGGAAGCGGCCATGGGGGACCGAGAGCAGCTGCTGCAACGAGCCCGCCTGGCCGAGCAGGCGGAGAGATACGACGACATGGCCTCGGCCATGAAGTCGGTGAGTGGTGCGGGCGGCGTGGCGGCGGGGCCGGGGGAAGGGGGAGGTGAGGAAGGACGTCCGGGCCGGAGCGGGGTGGGTCCGGGCAGGATGCGGCCAGCCTGTGGCGGTGAGGAAAGGAGGGGGGGTTGGGCGGGAGCGGGGCCGCCCGCCGGGGAATGCGCCCAATGTTCCCAGTGCTCCCGCCCTGCGGAGCCCCGCAGCTCCCGTCCCTTCGGAGCTGGTTTTCTCCCTCCCTCGTTTCTCTCTCCCCCTCGTAACGACGCCCGCGCCTCCCGCTCCGTCCCTGCCCGGGGGTGTGGCCGGCCCTACGCCGCCAATCGGGCGCGGTGCGGAGCGGCCGTTTGAACGCCGCCCGCCTCGGGGCGGAGGGAGCATGCTGAGCCGACCCGCCACCCCGCGCCTGGAGCTGAGAGCGGGCGGTGCGACCCATCCGGGGCTGAAGGGGCGCGGGGCGGGGTGGAATGGCCGCGGGGGGGCGGGGGGCTGAGCAGCGCGCGGCAGGAGGAGCCCCTTCCTTTTCTAGAGGGTTCTGCCGTAGAGGCTCCGAACAGGGGCCTCCCACGGGCGTGAGCGCTGCGATTCGAAGATGGAACTGTGGTCGCATCCGGGTATGCGAGCTGCTCACTGCACCCAGAATCTGTTTCCTAAGCTTTAACGTTGCCTTCTTGCCTCTTTTTGTAGGGTAACGTTCTCAGTGTGTTCTTACACAGTTGAATACTGATATGTGTTTTAACACTAAGCTACAGCTGCGATGAAAATGAAGTGTACTGACCCGTTTGTACTGGTACATAATAAAACTGGAGAATGACCAAACTTCATGTCTAGTGTCTCTTTTCAAAAAACAAAGCATATCTGAATTCTGAAGCCCGTGTAAATGCTGGTAAATGTTTAGCAAAGACCATTACAGTCTTTGTATTAATTGCAACTGATTTACTCTTATTGATCTCTTTTTTTTGTGAGCGCCAGGAGGCCTCAAGGGGACCCTGGTTTCTCTTGAGAAATAATGCTGCATGGTTTGAAAGAACAGCTACAAATCAAGTTCAGTCATGGATTGATTCTTGCAAAAAGTCTCCTTCAGGGACTGTATGATGTATGTTACATCTCTTAAATGAGGGCAGGAATCAGATGTTTATCTTTTTTATGCCACTGTAAACAGTTAGACATTATAAACACCAGCATCAATCTAGTTCTAAAGCACAAATACTTCTGAGTATCTCAATATTAAATGCAGTTGATGTAAGCTGTCTTTCAGTGATATTATTAGAATTCCTGATACCTACCATGAAGTAGTAACAGCTTCATTCACCTGGAGAACACTTCTCATCACTATTTCTGAAGGATGCAACCAAGAAATCACTAAAATCCACTGCTGCTCTGGAAGACACCATTTCTAGCTGTAGCTGGTAGCTTTTTTTCCCCCAGGCATTGCTGATCTGCAGGATATATATGGCTCCCTGAACGTGGGAAGCAAGAAGAACATGGTTGCTGTGTGTCAGGAGATATGTAAAGTAGAAGTAACTGGTGTGTGTGTCCTGTTGGCATCTTAAACTGAACTACTGCTCAGTTTTCACTCATTGAGTTTCGGTATTCTGTAATGCCATTTTGCTCTGCAAGAAGTTGTATAATGATGAGCTTCTGTAATTTGGAGCTTGCTAACACTGTAGATGAGCTGTCTTTAGCATGTATGAAATGTTACAAGTACTGAAATACAAAAAAATTTAGCTGAATTTAAAGGGCAACGGTTGACTCTTATTAGGCTGTTCAAGTAATCTTTCATCTTAAGATTTGAGTTGATTTTATAGGTGTGAGCTGAAGCACATTGTGTGCTCAGATGTTAGACTTCCTCCAGCAGGAAGCCAGTGTTGTAAATCGGATATCTAGTCTCAATGCAGGATATTTTGATTTGAAAAGATTCTTAAAAATATTCACATAACATACTTGATTCTTTTTGTAATGGTGCTGTGTGAAAATGCGGTATTTCCAGTGTAATGGAAATGCAAATGGTTCATTTCAGCTCCAGGTATTTATCAGCGTGTTTCTACAGCACACAATACTGCCAGCAGCCTGGCAGTGGCTCCTAACGCACAAAGCAATAAAGATTATTGTAGCAAAAGCATATTTGTACAATATTTGGGATTTCCAGTGAAGAAAGAACATGAAGAGGCTCTTATCAGCTGTTGATATAAAGTTGGAGGAATACTCATTGTTCAGTCCTGTCTGTTCAGCCTTCTATAGAAAATATATAAATCTATAGATAATACAGCTGTTGTAGCTTAAATAAGGAACCTGCTGTTAAAGAGTACAATTTTTCTTGCTGTTTGTTCTTAGAATTTTGCTATTTCTGCTTGTATTTGTACTTACAATAGAAGTATACTTCTATTAGTACCTATTTATCTATGTAATTAAGTTGCTGTTATAAATCAATGGGTGTAGTCAATATTATTTTCATAGAAAGTACATGCATATGTGAAAGTGCCTCTAACCAAATTACATCCTTCCAAGGACAGTGGCAATCTCACTGCATTAAGTGCCACTTTAATGTTCCAACTGTTTGGAGTAATACATGTGGTAGGTAAAACCTGTCTTCCAAGCACACTGGGGAAAAACGTGCTGTTATTGTAAGAGTGTTAAAGGTGCTCATTTGTTGGAATAAATATTGTTCCAACAAATTACTGAGCAGATTGGGAGCATGAATGCTTTCGGTATTAGACTGTTCCAGAAATTGATTTTAAATGTTGATTATAAATACTAAATAGCTGAACAGTTTTGCTTTGTAAACTCAGTCAGTCTATTAATTCCAATATATAGTAGTGTGTAGTAGTTTTTTTTTAATCTGCATTGCTTTTCTAGTACAGGTACGTAGCAGGTATTGGAGATTGAGATGAATCTCAGTTATGTGAGATGTGTAATTTTGATGTGAGGCATGTGAAGGAGATTTACTTCACCCTGAGAATACTGAGTCTTGGTATTATTGAATATGTGAATAACTATAATGTGAACAATATCCTTTCCTGCTGTGAGATGATTTTCACTGTGGTTTTATACTGTGAAAGTATCTGTCACAAAAAAAAAACAAAACTAGAAGCCACACTGATGCAAGGTATTGCTCTGGTTTAAATGATTTCATCTGGTTTGTACAGAAATAATGAACAGTATTCATTATGAACCTTCTCAGGATAGTTTTATTGATTAAAAGTGGCTTTCCTGCTCAGGTACAGTCTTTTGCTACAGCAGCTCATTAAGGACTTGTCGAGCTCTGACAACAGTGTTCTTGCTAACAGAACAAGTGCAGTCACACACGTGCAGTTCACCTGGACCAGACTGATGCCATTAGGTAACCTGACAGTGCATTCATCTGCTGTCAATTACAGAACCATTGCTTTGGTGAGTGTTCAGTGTAAGATGAACTTGGCTTGATGTGGCCCATGTAGGATCACACCATTGGAAGTCAGTTCTGCTCTAGGAAGCCCAGTGTTGTGGCCAGGATTCCTTTTATGTACTTCTGCTTCTTTCTCAGTTAACCGTGAGAGCTCTTGGACAAAGAGCTGAGGAGATACCTCGAAGTACTACAGAACCAACATTTTGTGGTTTTTTAACACTTGTGAACTGCTAGTAGATCATAGCCTGTATATTCAGCTGGCTTTATCTTGCAGTCCTTAGCAAGATGATGCAGACTTTGATGTCAGAAGAATGTTTGCATAAGAAAAGTAGAGTTATACATCACAAAGTTAGTACTACTTTGAAGTCGTACTACAAACTTTTTTCTCTTAAGTGCTCTTTTTCCTGATAGCCACTATAAAAAACACTCGGTCAGAAAAGTAGAAGTGCATTTCTTAAGCAATCAACTCCATTTAACGCTATAGGGAGAATGGAAAACAAGAAACATTTCCTTTAGCACTTCAGGTTTTCTTTTCTACATCATCCCAACAGGAAGAGAAACATGTCTGTTTTTATGTAATTTGCTGATGTATCTGAAATTGATAAAGCTGCTGATAAGCACTGCTTTCCTTTCATTCTAGCTTCTGGTAATATAGATGTTTGTGTTGGGGCTGTAGGTGTGATTTTTATGTATGCCTGCACAAAGGACCAGCGTTGTTTTGGCTAGGATGGAGGCTAGTTTGCTGTTTCTCCTCCAGAAGTCACCTTTGAGTTGAGACGGAAAGGATTCAGCATTAATGAAGTAAAAGTGGGGAGGTGGGGTGAAAATGGCGCTGACATCCTGAAGGTTGTTGAAAGATGACACTGGAAAGAAGAGTTCCACTGCAAGCATTGGAAACTTCTGCTATGGCAAGAATCACTGGTGGGAAACAGCTCCTGTTATGCTGAGCTCCTGCACTCCTGCTAGGTGCTGCTCACGTGAAAAATAATTGTCAGTTTTTACATTAAGTTAACAGCATCTGCCAAGGGGAATGAATGCACTGCTGAGTGTAGTGATACTGACACTTCAGCTGTACTGTATCTGAAAAGTAATTCACTTAAAACTTCAGTTATGGAGAAGGAAAGAAAGGTGGAAAGGCATTTAGGGGTCAGTCTTTACAAGTGCTGTATCCTGTGCACGTGCAGCTCATGAGTCAGTATTTTTAAGATGGATGTTGTGATACATTTTCTGCAATTGAAAATGAGTAACGTCTGAAGAGAGAAAATAGGCTAGGAAAAAATCTAGACTACTCTTCCGAGGCTAATGATACTGCTGTGGGATTGCACTTTGTGTTGTGACAAATAGGATGAAACTTTGGAAACTGATAGCTTCCATCTCCATACGTAAATGCACCAGCTGTAGCGTAGTAAACATGTAGGTTTGCATTGTGTTTTTTTGATGGTTCTTATGGCATTTGTTAGGTGCTGCAGAGTGCTATTTAGATATCCACCACTGGAATGACCAAGTAATTATTAATCTCTGGTTTTGATTTTTTTTTAATATTATTTTTGTAAAAGCAAATGCTGTCCTAACAGACTGGGGGAATAGAAAGGCCTAAGCTAAGCCTTCACATCCTGAGGGAATTGATCTTTACTAGAGATAATGATAGAAGTGGGTCTGACTAGAGATTGTGTTTGGGAAAATGGGGTGTGGAAGCTGTGAAGAAGCTTGTGACAATTACATCGAGTTGATTCCTGTGCATTTACCATGGGTAGGTTGTCTGTCATTGTATCAGGGTGGACACAGCAGTGTCTTTTGTGCTCCCAGAGCTGTGGGGAAAAGGAATTTTGGAGGTAACTCAATTCAAAGTAATTTCCCTTTCTGAGAAAGTTAATTTTTATAATTATTTTTCAGGCTTGGCAGGATCCATGTTTACTGGAGAGTACACTGCTTACACAGAGTGTAAATATTTGTGACAGTTACTTGTAGATTGCAAATTTGGCTGCAGACACTGTGTGTCATGGAAATATGCACTTTTTTGGGAAGTAGTTAATTTTAGCAATGCGTGAGCAATGGTAGTTTTATCTTCAGTTGGAAGTGCACATCCTTACAATTCTAGTGACTTCCAATGCAACTAATGAAGTATGCGTAAAGTAGCGGAGCTGTGATTTTCAATTTAATTCCTATTAACTTAATTTCACATTTGTAAACTTGAAAATCTGAACAAATTCAGGTGGGTGTAAGTCTGAAAGGCCTTTTTTCTAATCAGCACAAAGTGAAACAGGGCTAGGCATAGTCTTGGATGTTCTACCCTTCCCTTACTGCAGCTTTAGTAGTAGGAACTTAGTTTTTTTTTTTGTAAATAAAAAATAAAGAATAAAAAAAAAAAGCAAACAAAAAACCCAAAGAAAACAGCCCTCATTTGTTCCACCTATGCAATTTCCTTTATATCCTATCCTTCGAACTTGCCTGCAGCCACCAGTCAACAGAAATCAGGCTAACTTCTGTGTTACTCTGTGTAATGGCTCACTCAGTGAATGAAAGACAGTATGAAGCACTAATTCCATTTGTACTATGCAGAGCATAATCCTAATGGCTGCAGCGCTTCCATCTCTGCTGTTGAATGAAAAAAAAAAAAAAAGCAGCAAAGGAAAGAAATGCAAGAACTGCAGCAGTTTCCAGTGTCTGTGCTGTGTTCCAGATTCATAAAACTGATATTCTAGGTACATTTAAATTCATTGTGAAGTTTGTAGTCTGCATAATTATAGCTCAGACTTGTAGGAGTTAAATCCTCCAAATGCTTCTTTGTTGCACCAGCCTGACTCACTCTTTTGGTGAATGTGCTTCGTAATGGGTTTTAAATTCCAGATCTATTACAGCCAAACTGGGGGGAGTTTCATTCTTTTGTGTCTTGACTGCAGCAACAGCTTTCAAGCTTAAATGTTACAAACTGTTTTCTGGCTAGAAGGAATTTTGAGATCCAGAAGGAATTTTGAATGTCGGGTTTCATGATGGAGGTGCTGAAGGAAACTTGTTATTTCTGAAGATAAACCGTTTGAATTTGATCTTTGTGTGTATTTTCAGGTAACTGAGCTGAATGAGCCTCTCTCAAATGAGGACAGAAACCTGCTGTCTGTAGCCTACAAGAACGTAGTTGGAGCTAGGCGATCCTCCTGGCGTGTCATCAGCAGCATAGAGCAGAAGACTATGGCTGATGGCAATGAGAAGAAGCTGGAGAAGGTTAAAGCCTACAGGGAGAAGATAGAAAAGGAACTTGAGACAGTCTGCAATGATGTTTTGGCTCTCCTCGATAAGTACTTGATCAAGAACTGCAATGACTTCCAGTATGAGAGCAAGGTTTTTTATCTGAAAATGAAAGGAGATTATTACCGCTATTTGGCAGAAGTTGCTGCTGGAGAGAAGAAAAACAGTGTTGTGGAAGCCTCAGAAGCTGCCTATAAGGAGGCCTTTGAAATCAGCAAAGAGCACATGCAGCCTACTCACCCAATTAGGCTTGGGCTGGCACTCAATTTCTCGGTGTTCTACTATGAAATCCAGAATGCTCCTGAGCAAGCCTGCCTTTTAGCCAAACAAGCCTTTGATGATGCCATAGCAGAGCTGGACACACTAAATGAGGATTCCTACAAGGACTCCACTCTCATCATGCAGTTACTTCGAGATAACCTCACTCTGTGGACGAGTGACCAGCAAGATGAAGAAGCAGGAGAAGGCAATAATTAAAAAGCTTTCCTCTGATCTGTCTTTCATCCACTTCACAATCCCTGTCATCACCGATATTACCTTGCCACAGTCACACTAAATATCTAGTGCTAAGCATATCTGTATTGTACAGCTGTTCAGATTTGCTGTCCACTTTATCAAGAAGCAGTTTCAGATGAGCCTTCATGGGTGTTGATGGATTGATTGGTTTATTGGCCCTAGTTATCTTAGTTGCACTTCAACAGTGCAGAAAGATATATGTATTTAATGAGGCATTTTTAGTTTGCCTGTTGATTAGAACAGATGGGAAAGAATAATGGAAAACGACTGAAGATGATTAGATTCCAGTTTCAATTTTTGCCATTTGAAATGAGCTGCCTGTTCTGTTAAGCAGTACATTTTGTGCATGCAAAGTAAACTAGCCACCTCAATTTTTTTTCAGTCAATGCAAACAGTTAAGCTGATGTGAAATGACAACCCTGTTCATCAGTTTACAATAAACTGTTTGAAATGTGAAGTTTTGGTAGCAAATTTTTTTTTGCCTCTTAACTTATGTGCACAGTTTATTTTAATGCAGTGCATCTACCTAAGAGTTTTGATACTTGTAACCTTTTGCAATTGTTTTGAAGAATCATGAATTTATTTTTTGTAAACTCTTTGGCTGTTTAGTTGTCTGTGTATTCTGACAACACTATGTCAATATTAGCCCATGTTAAGATGGATGACCGAGATGCCAGACTTCTAAATTAAATGTTTTGGAATTAAATAAAATAAAATGCTGCTTCGGGGAATATTATCTCTACATAAGCTGTCCTGTCTTTTGTTCAGAGCAAAGACTGAGTTACTTAGTACATCACTGCTAAGTTAAAACATGTCATTAATGAGAAGACGTCTCGTACACTAAAAACAAATGAGCAAATAACAGTGTGCTAAAAAGAAGAAAGAAGCCCACAGCAATCTAGAATGGTACTTCTTACCTGAGGTAAAATGGAGTTTCCTAAGGTACGTGTTAGTTGGTTTACTGGGTACAGCAACTGTAGAGCAGTTCTGCTCAGAAGCTAAAAAGTAGCATAGAATATTACTTCTTTACACCAATGTAGAGACTTACATTATTTTCTTCTGTCTACAGTAACTTCTAAGGTGTTTTTTTTTTTTTTCCAGAAGTGCTAACCACCACATTATATTTGCGCATTAAAATTCCAGTAGTGTTACTTTGTATTTACCTAATTCTAGCAGAAGCAGTATTTATTCTTGGAGAATGCCTCTCTGTTCTAGCAAACTTAAATCTAGTCCCCAGACTTACATTTTGCTTCTTTCTCCCCAGCAGTTAGAATATATTTATTGGTTCCATCCATACTTCTGTACTGATGTATTACAGAAGCAGGAAAAGTTAGCTGTTGTGTTACGTGTGGCTGTATCCAGACTGCTGCTGGCACCTGGGCTAGCTCAAAAATCATGTAAGTTCTCAATTTATCTAAATCCATTTTTGTATGACTTATTAAAACACTAGTGGCCTAAATGCCCACAGCAAGAACTTCTCATGCTTTTTAAAAACAGTGAGCTGCTTTCTTTTAAATATCTGGAGAATGAGATTTTTTAAGGATAGATTTGTTCATATATTTTCTAGTCTCCTAGGTAATTCTAGATGTATTATATTAGTTACGTTTGTGATAATCAGAGGGCTTGTACAACATCTGAAAAAGGTGTAAGTTCATCTTGATGTGCTGTTGTATGATCTGGACATGCTTGATTCCTACTAAAATAAAGCACCTTGAATTATGTCCTTCATACCAATTGCTGTTGTGTGCCCATGGCCTACTCTAGAAGTTATTTTTTCCTGTATGCTCTTTGCTCAAACAGTGCACAAATGTTTGGCTTCCCCCCACCCCTAATTACTTATTAGAGCCTTCTGGCCAATAGTACTCTTTTTGGACTTTACCTGTCTCAGATATGGTGCTTCTACATTTTTTCTTCCTTGCTTTCCTCTCAAATATACATATCTGCGAAATGGAACCAAAATGAAACTTGGACAATAAAGCTCCCTTTTTATATTGAAACACTGTAGCTAGTTAATCATTGTTGGTAATTGCTAAATTTATTTTTTTCATGTTTTTTTGTAGGCACTAATATGTATATATACATACATACGTATATATCTATACATATATATGTGTGTATATATATATAGTTAATTAAGGGCTAAGGAGTCTTTTCTCATTCTAGTTATTGCCTTACACAGCTCCTTTGTCAGTGGGTCTCTGACTTCTGCAGGCTAACCTGTTGAAGGTTGACTACTGAGCTGTTGCCTAGGGTCCCAAATGGAAATGAAAAGCATTCTGTGAAATGTTAGGATTTCTGGGTGTATTTTCATGAATTGCCATTAACCTGGATAAATCTTTTCTGACTATCATGAAATATAAAGGTCCATTTTGAAATGGTTTAATTTGCTTGAAGGATGGATTCCCTTCTCCTTAGCGGTGTAAATTTCAACAAATTAATCAGTTATAGTCATAAATGCAAGCAGATGAGAAGATGGTTGGAAGATGTTAGGAAGATAGGTGTAAAACTGAAGTTATAATTATTTCTTGATGAACCACTGTATTCTTACAGTGTTTTGTGCAGTTGGCTGGAAACTGTCAAGGTTTTGTACTAGGTGTCAGGTTCTATAGTGTATGTAAACATGGCTGGAAAGAAGAAACTGCCTTCTAAGAATTTCTTGTGCTAGAATCTCTAGAGGAACTCTCCAGAAGAGCTAGGAATAGCAAGAGCTTCCTTATCACAAGATAACCTGAAGTTTGGTAGTGAACTGACAAGTGCAGGTAATTTATTGCCAAGTGAACCCAAAAGGTGGAATTCAGTGACCAGGACATTATCCCAAGTTGGGCTTCAATTAGAATATCTTCATCTGAATGTGAAAGTTAAAGTTCAGTAATGAGCAGCAGCTGGTAGGTTGTAGTCCTCTAAATGAGTGGCATGCAGTTATGCTGGGCCACATGTGGGCTTGTAACGTAATTCAAGCCACCATCTCTATATCTGGAAGAGATCTCAGTAATGACCAAGCTTTTTTGAGGAGGATGAGCTTCACGGCAGGTAAGTGAAATTATGTGGGTGTATTGCTGTGAATCCACAGGCACAATATCACGGTCCCAGAAGGAGGAAAACCAATATATGTTATCTTCCATCAGTGTGAGACCCACCGAAATCTCTTGGCAAACGTGTAGCAGGAATGCTCTTCAGCCAGTCACCTTTTGGATGAGGTGCTCTGTCTTTTTTCTCGTATTTCATTGCTTTTTGATAACTTTAAATTGCAGAATTGGATCAGCACACTTAGTAGCCTTTGACCTTAAATCTGTTCAATTTACACGGTAACATGATAATCTGTTTTAGACAATACAGCCATCCCTTTAGTATCCTCAAAAAGAGAAAAAAAAAATTCTTTTTGCTTTTAGCAAAGCTTGTTCCAGAGCTGAAATGAGCAGCCCTTAGAATCTATACCTGAACTTCAAGTAATGATATTCCATACCACATGCCAGCTTAATGTCTCATTGAAATTTATCTTTGCATGTCTTTAAGCAAGGGCAGAGGTGTTTTAAAATACATATGTGGTGTGAATTCCTTCTGGAAAGCGAGTGGACGCGTTCCTGATGGAGAGAAACACTCTTAATTATTTTATAATTGGACAATGTACATATGATTTTTAAAAATTGCCAGGGATCGGCATGTGTGATTACATAATTGAAGTGCAATTACATACTTACTTTTAATAAAATATTCTCTGTTACTTATATATTAAGTGATAGTGCTAAAAGTAGAAAATAAACGTATATTTATTTATCTTATATTTCCTTGAGTTCTATTGTATCATCATCATCTTTTTTCTCATTTGCTCGCAGTGCTGTTCTCCAAAGTAGTGCTTAGATTGTCAGTGTACACAAATTCTGGTTGGTTTTGGTTGGCTTTTGGCCTGGTAACTCTGAGCTCCAGTGACTGCAGAAATTGTTAGTGGTGGATTTTGGTTTTGAGGTTAACATGCATAGTAGCCTTGGGAGCCTGTAATTAGCTGGAATCTCTGTGCTGTCATTTATTTGAGTATTGCAAATCAGTTTGATCTGCTCTACCTCAAGCATTGGAGCCAGATGAATTGCTCTCATTGCACTGGGTATTTTTCTGCAAATCCCAGAATACGTTAAGGCAAAGCACTGTGAACTTTCTGACAAGTAATTATCAAGAAATCACTTACCTATGATTATGCAGTTAATATGAGCTTTTTTCTCTCATGTTTTCACATCAGTTTGATAATCCAATAAATGTGATTAATTCCATTTTAGAACTTAATTTGTTAGTAGTTGAATCCATCCATCTTTAAAAAATCATCTAGTTTAACAATACATTTAAGGAGAGGAACAAATGAAATCACACCATCCATGTGCCTTCCAGCAATGTACCTGAAACCAAGTAATACCTGCAGTAATACTATATGCCATCTATTGTATTTGGAGAGCTGTATCCTCAGTTACAATCATTAGTCAGTGTTCTCTCAAACAGAAGCTACTGAAAGAATAAAGCACAGATTTCCATCTTGAACACGCAGTATGGAAAGAGGCAGAACTGCTGGGGATTGTCAAGGAAAGCATTCTGCTCACAGGTGTTTTTGGCTGTTGGTGTGACCTTGGGTTTGGGAAAGAAGGTCTGACTTTTGCAAGGAGCAGAAGCTAGTGGAAGTGTTAGTAACATTGTAATCAACCAGCTGGTTTTTGTGGTGAGTAAATAGAAGAAGGAGAATATTTTCTCTGGGGGAAAAAAAAAAAAGGGGGAGCAAAAAAATAACTGCTATTTGTCCCATGTTTGTTTTACTGAAAAACCAAATTGTTATTTTTTAAGTACAATCCAGGTACTTCAGAGAGAAACCTGCATAGGGAAGTCGAGTTAGAGGTGCTGGAACTTTAAAACTTGACCCAGAATAAAATCATTTTTGCTGTATGTTGTGGAGTCTGTGCTACAAAGGGAAAATCCAGTGCAATTGGGCACCATCTGTAGCAGCTTCCTGCCCCTGTGGCAGAGCTGTCCTGGAGCAGTGATCCCCATTACTGTCCCTGCCATCCAAATCCACAGATGGGAGCAGACAGCCCGAGCCTGTTGTTGGCAGGAGGTGGCACAGCTCTCTCCAAGTGCCCGCTGGCTGGCCATCGTGTTGGGTCACTGCTACAATGCCAGCATGTCCTTTAAGGGCAGGATCGAATCCCTTGATTCTCTTGTGTCACCTCAAGCTTTTTAAGGACTGCTATTTGCCTCTTCTGAAACAAGTCCTGTTAAGCTTCTCTGGCTGTCAAATGTCATGGGAGGACTGTGGAGCTGTTTACTGTCATCAGCATCATCAGTGTGATGCTTTTAATACATAAGAATGCTCTGGTGCTGTTGCTGATTCATTCCCCTGGTTTTCACAGCTGAGACTTTCTTGCTTTCAGATAATTCCTGCACTTTTCTGTGTTAATAACGTTCATTTTTTGAATGTGGCAAGGAGCAAAACATTGCATTGAACATCATTAATTACAGAAAATAAATCGTGCAGTGAATTTGAAAATATCTCATTTACAAGTTGTTGGAGCTACTGGAATGGAATCTGTAGGAATTCCTGGCTAGGCTGATTTGGAAAGCATTTTCACTTTTTGAGTACAAGATATATATAAGTAGTATAAGAGTATAAGATTTATTGATACAATTTTAGTATAGCTACCTGTTACAATAATTTTGAGTTTGTGTTTTACATTGCTAAGAAACAAATGTGTAAATTCCATAAACTGC